TTATATACTAATAAATTTGCTTGTTAAGAACCATGTGGGACGACGTGTGCTTTATGTAACTGAATAAAACATAAGCGCATGCTCAGAGTACTAAATCTCCCATCCAATCACACATTTTTGCAGCTACTAGGGCATATTAGGTAGCCTTGTCAAATATACCATAATAATCAGCCAATCACGTGCATACCTAGAAAGTAACCTGGCAGCTAAAATTACCCATAATTTCCTGCTTGGATAGCACAGGAATACCAAGATCACATGGTCAATCATATTATCCATAATGCTTTACTTTACTTGTCTCATGGTGCTGTACTTGTGCTGCAGTACGTTTGCTCGACGTTTCTTCCTTCTTCCTTGGAGAGTTATTGCAATTACATGTAAGATGTCAAAAAAGTACATGCTGAGACGCTCAACGGCAGCTCAACCATCTTACAAACGCACACACCGTTCGCGGTAGACTCACACTAAAAGATGTCAATGAGCGTCAGTTTCGAAACGAGTCGTTCCGCAAACCCAAAGAATTCTTCGACAAGACGAAGGATCAGACTTCTACAATCAGCTCTAGACTCACAGTGATAAGTTTATTTATTCTAATAGCTATATTTTACGTATCAATAAATAGATTTGTCAATTATATTTCCCCATTTACTGTGTTATTCATCGCAGTCTTGTTTTGTAAAATATGCTTCTTGACCTGAGAGGTCATTTTTTAATTAAAAACGBGMAACCTTACACCAAGATATCTGATAATCAAATGCATTGCGCCATTTCGTCTAGCACATGAGTTTAAGAGCATTTAAAGCATTTATTTTGAATAAATGAAAAATCATTTTGAATTTGAAAAAGTTGCATTTGGAAATTCCCCTAATTAGTATAAGCTGGTCCATGTACAAAAAACAGGATAAGTATAGGTTAATAGGGTTCTTTCCTTTAAACATTGCCTCAAAAATTGTTAAATTATAAAGTGTTGTTTATATGACCTTTTTAAATCTCACGAAATTTGCATATTTTGAATGAGCTACACCGCTTTTACAGCGTGAAGTCGGGATAGCTATTTTTTGAAAATTGAGAAAGACAGAATATCACTCCTGGATCGATATTTCTAGTGTTTTGATGTCGTTGCGACAAGCCACCAGAAAAGCATATCGCGGTGCGTGAATAAACAAACTAGATAAGGTATTCTACGCCATAAATTACTTTCATATTTAATTATATGACTGTCAGAATATTACATGTTTTTTTAGATACGAATTTTATCTTATCGTGTTGAACTCTTTCGCTCTTCACGTATTCGAAAATCCATGTAATTTCTCAATTTTCCAAAATAGCTAGCCCGACTTCACGCTCCAAGAGCGTCTAGTTTTGTAAAATATGCTTCTTGACCGGAGAGGTCATTTTTTAATTAAAAACGTGAAACTTTACACCAAGATATCTGATAATCAAATGAATTGCGCCACGTCGTCTAGGGTTGCATTAGTAATGATAGGATATGAGTTTTAAGAGCATTTAAAACATTTATTTTGAATTTATTTGAAACAGTTGCCTTTTGAGATTACCCTAAATAGTATAAGCTGGTCTGATAAGTATAGGTTAACAGGATTCATTGTTAAATTATAAAGTGTTGTTTATATGACCTTTTTAAAACACACGAAATTTGCATATTTTGAATGTGCTACACGCTTTTACAGCGTGAAGTTGGGATAGCTATTTTTGAAAATTGAGAATTATTATTAATATCACTCCAGGATCGATATTCCTAGTGTTTTGATGTCGTTGCGCCAAGCCACCAGAAAAGAATATCGTGGTGCGTGAATAAACAAACTAGATAAGGTATTCTACGCCGTAATTTACTTTTATATATAATTATATGACTGTCAGAATATTACATGTTTTCTTAGATACGAATTTTATCTTATCGTGTTGAACTCTTTCGCTCTTCACGTATTCGAAAATCCAAGTAATTTCTCAATTTTCCAAAATAGCTAGCCCGACTTCACGCTCAAAGAGCGTCTAGTTACGTGGGCTTCCTGTGGAAGTCCACGTCTTAAAATGCAACTGGCGATTTCGTCGTGGTCGTCGTGAATATTACGCTTCAAATTGGTAGCGCATCGATAGCGCATGCGTTGCAGTCTCAGTTTCCATGGGGATGTCGAAGTAAAATCAATCAGCGCTTTCTTTTCATTCATGACATGTATTGTTTCGTATGTCATTCGGCCTCGTGGTCTTATCGCGATATCTAAGTCACGTTATAGCTACTGTGACCTGGTTTGTGACCAAGAAAAGCAATGTGATCAAGAAAATGAAGGAAACCAACCCTAGAACGCTGATCTCAAAGCTCTTNCAACTAATCCCACTATGGAAAAATGGAAATCATTATACAACAATTAATTGAATGAGTTTTCTTGATTTTCAATTCAGGATCCTTGCTAATCCATTTCAACGCCATTAATACAACAGTGAGTGTCGTGAATGAAAAAACAAAAAAACAGCAGTTAGTTTAGCAGGTGACCAGTCGACATAATTACATGATCTAGAAGATGATTTTATGAAACATAAGTCATTGCAAGTACGCTCTCGGCCATCAAAACTCCTTTATACGTTAGTACATTTATGGTGGGACTGAACTAGCGATTAACTAGTGTGAGCTGCGTCGGTGTTTTTAAAGAAACAGTTGTGTAAAAAGATAAATTTAACACCGTAAAAAAGTTGGTAAAGTAACTTACTGACGTTTCGGACGTTAATCCTTCGTCGGAGTAAAGAGCATATTTTTATGCACTTTAATACAGCAAAACGCGACCCCGCGCTGATTTCATTGAGGATGTAAACTCGTTAGTTCTACAATATTATATTATAACTATCATAGTACGCGCTCTCTGATTGGTCAAATGTTATTGTTTATTTCACCTGTAAACGCACGGATGCGAAAATGCTATAATAAATAGATAATATATAATAAACAACAATAAATAATATATAATAAACAACATATTTTCGTGCGTTCCTGGTAAAATAAACAACTTGGGATATTGGGAAATACTCAAAAGGCTGAAAATCTCTCACCTACGGCTCGAGATTTTTTACGCCTTTTTCGTGTTCTTCCAACATCCCGCGTGGTTTATTTGATCAGGAACGCACGAAAATGTGTTGTTTATTGCTTAAATAAACTTTGAGTATGAAATCGAGCGAGAGGAACATCGAAGAATTCAAAAATTAGACTAGCAAAAAATTATTCTTAAGTAAAATAGCTTTACATGCTAACTGCAGTGTTCATTTCTATTACAGCAGTCGGTCCTTGAACAGTGCGATTATCAACAGTGATATCTATTCGCTTTAATCTACAATGTCGATAGCATTTGGATAGCATGGCTTTGATGTTTTGACGATAAATGTCATTAAAGATAACATAGATAAAGAAATTGTAGCCGAGGCTTGAGAAGAGCAGGAAAAGAGTTGAACRATTGAGTATATGACCTAATGTTGGGGAAAGATGGCTTAATTTTCCTTCTAATAAAAGCATATTGTAAATAAACCAGGTTCCTTGACAAATATAAAGCAAAGCMGCAATTGTGACGACCATTTTAAACACTTTTCTATTTTGTTGTTCTCGTCGTCTTATTACTGAATTTGCCAGTCCTGGAGCCTTGTGGCGGTACAGTTTGTACACTGTGCATGTATATGTGATTACAGTAAACCCAACTAGTCCATTGATTACTGCTAAAATAATATAAACATAAAGTTTAAAAGAAAATGAGTTCTTTGACGATAGTGTACACGTGGTTCCAGTCTTAGCCACGAGACGAATATATAAGCTAGGCGAGCAGAGCATAGATGTCAAAAGCCAAATTCCTGCAATAATGCACTTCATTTTCCCCTGAAAGAGTCTGCTGTGTGGGTGGGACACGGCGTAATATCGGTCGATAGCAATGAAAACACAACTATTAACAGATACAATGAAACAGACGTCTATTGCAAAATAAAGTAGCTTAAATATGGCATTAATGACATGTACATTACAGTCTAGAAGCCATTGATTGCCATTGCTTATAAGTAATATTTGATATGGAATGACGATTAAAGTTGCGAAAAGATCACTGACCGCCATGTTGGTCACTAAGTAATTAGTGGTAGTTTTCAAWCGATTGTCCTTGTAGATTATCAATAGAATAAGAACATTCCCGATAGTGCAAACCAAGAACTGGAGAGAGAAAGCCACAGTCCATGGTATTTCGCTGTTGAAGCCAACATCAGGTGGACTGGCATTTGACGATGATGAAATGTTATTCATAGTTTTTATCTTCTCTTATCTACTGTATTGGTCTGATGTTCTTGAAGTCAACAATAGACTTTTTCGTCAAGTAGCTCTTCCACTAATCAATTATAGATAATTCCCTCTTGCTAAGAGATAGTCACATACCCAAGGAATACAAACTCAATAAATAACGAACAACAGATTATAATCTGACCTGGCCACTTCCCTGTTAGCAACACGACACAAAGTTCATCTGGASTAATCGTATGCCATGACAATCAAAAAAATTTAATAATGTGCACAGTACTGAAAAATACACAAATGAAGCCATATACTACACACACAATKTACKAATACAAGAMGTTTCATATCCAGTAAAGTCAGACCGACACCACYGCCTTTAATGAATGAAATATGACATTGAAAGATTCATTATCGTYCATCATATGTTTGATTTATAAGGCGAATGCGTACCGTATATCGATATTAAAAGCCTTGAAAACCGGCTTGAAAAAAGGACCCAAAAATGAAATTAAAAAAGAAATTAATACAAGTTATAGAACTTCTCTCCCACTGTACAAACATAATCACTGATGAAGTCTGCTGTCGAATAATTGTCACAATATTATAAGACATCATTGGAATTAAATGGCTTCTGGACATATTTAGTATATCATGACACATGTCATGCACAGCTAGACTCAATATATTAGATATAACAAAGCAGTCACAACTTTCATTAATACTTTCTCCCCTTCAAATTAATCATAACTCTCCTTATAACCGAAGAGGAAATTAATMATGGCTTAATTGAACACAGGAGCTCTCCAAGGTCTAATATAATCTCCCCTATTACTTTGATATATGGACAAGGGGTGCACAAGGGAGAGTTTTCACAAAAAAAAATATCATCATGACTTCTACTTTTCCTTGACTGTACCAATCAATTTAGGCTCTCACTCAAACATTATTAATACCTTTTAAATCTTTTTTTTTTTTTTGAGGTTTAAAAACTTCTGAAATGCTCGAGTCTTAAGGCTGATTTACACGGCACGATTGTCTCGTGCGATTTGTAGTATACGACTTGAATCGCGCAGTGTAAATGCCCCTACGACTTGTCTACAACAGTCGTACGCAACCTACGACTTGAAGTAGGATTTTGAACCACTGCTTAAAATCCTACGACTTGTAGTAGGAAAATCGTATACTACAAGTCGCGCGCGACAAATCGTACCGTGTAAATCAGCCTTTACTCGTACTAATGATTATACTTGAGTTCCAAATGTTGCAGCTATAACTACACTAATGTGCATTTTAGGCATCTAAGGTCAAGGTCAATATAGACTAACACCGCACAGACTTGCGCGTCCAGTGAAAACACAGGMAGCCCATCAAATAGYCGTCGCATTTAAACATAAAGATAACACTTACCTGAGAAAGACCTCCAAACATTTCACCAAGCTTTGCTGCAGGTGTTAGTGAACTTGAAGCGAGACTCATGGCATAAGAATGGCCAGATTGTGCAATAGAATTAGATAAGTCTGCTGCTAGCATGTTWATTAACGTCCTTAGGCGATCTTGGTCATCAAATATTGGACTAAAACAACAAATACAGTAGATAATCTTTGTTTAATTATTTTGTTTTTTTTTAACTTTTTTTTAACTTTTTAACTAAAAATGAATGTCATGACGCAAATCATTGTTTGTTTATATTCTATTCATCATCTCAGGCTTAATTGCTCTATCGCATAATTACGTCACAGCAAAGCATTATATTGTTTTAACTCTAAGGATTATGGTCGTYAGAGGGGATATAAAATAAAATTTACATGAAGAATATTTAGTACATGATATATGTCAAAACTCGTTACATTGAAGTTCAATGTCACTGGTTCTGAGCATCTATCCACAATGTAAACAAACTGTGACGCCATTATGTTATAGGGCATTTCTATAGAAAAGAGGGCACTAATTCACATTCATTATAGGCTTGCTAGATTACATCTTATGCAACGCAATGATATAGTACTTCTAGGAGTGTAGATCGGGACAAGCCACAAACATTTGGCGGAAAAAATGCAACATCCGACAATCAAAATACTATGTATAAGAGTTTCACTGTTTGATAAGCACGGAGTCAAACGCCTTCCTTAACATGAGCGGAAGTCCATAATTTCATACAATAATGCGATAATTTCCAATTGACAACTGGTTCTACGTGGCTATTCAGCATGGCCTTCTTACGCGGACCACTTACAAGCTCAATAGATCGAGCCTCAAGTAGGAGTTTTGAACTGACATTGTTGCACTGAGTCATCTCTGGGTCATCTATATGTAACGAACTATCTAGTACCACAATTAAGAGCGACCTTATGAATTTACGCCACTTACTTTGAGAATAKTTCTCCCCAAAGGTAAAACATGTGAGGTAAGTTACTGTCCAGACAGTATGACGAGAATATRACGCCCTGAATAAGGACACAAAACCTGGTTATATGCTAATCAATCAGTCTTTCAATATAACGCACTGTCACACTGAACACTTCATAATTATGACTGTWAACGGGGGCCACCATGTCMTTCKCCTAGCAATGATATCCTCCACTCGCATGATTCAGAGTGAAAGAAATGGAACTCCTTCCATGCATATTAAGCGTTATTTGGGATTCATGTCCTCTTTTAAAATCGTAGTTTGCGCCGAGTGTTCTGACTCTTCGAGGGACATTACTTCTTTGAATACTGCATTTTACAGTTCCAAGCGYCATCTTGAAAGGCAAACAAGTCTTTGCGTTAAATCGAGACAAGAGTTGAGCCTGTAGTGATAGATACCTTTTGTTCAGACCTAAGAAAATTATTCACTGTCTCTATCATTGCAAGCTCGCCTTCTGTCTCGCAAAGGCGTGATTRCCTTTCAAGATGGCGCTTGGAACTGTAAAATGAAGTATTCTTGGTGTGCAAGTTACGTCATCACCGCCATATTGGATGAAAATCACGGCAAAGCATTCCTCATTAGTTTCTCTTGTCCATTCATCCAACATGGCGGCGAAAACTTTGTTCTTTATTTCTCAGGGGATTCCTGGTCATGTGGTTGCACACCAAGAATTGCTCGGGTACGATTAATCAAATCACTGACCTGTTCGTACTTGTTGGCAGCGGTGTGATGTGAACAGACATGCGTACCGACTGACAGGCCACCAGTTCGTCGCTCGATCATTTGAGATAATTCCTTGTAACTACGATTCCCTGCACCCATCCTACAGTAAAACAACGCATTAAAAAAAATCGAAGAGAAAACAGAAAAAAAAATGATTAGGAAAAAAAGTAGGCATTTTGTCTTCTTCATCCTTTTTCATCCCTGAGTCCATTTTTTTATTGGCGAAGTCAAAAGTTAAGTGTTTGCTCTCCACTGATATCGTTATCGAGCGTATTCTAATAGAGCGGATTTCGCAAGGTTTTAAAACAAAACAAAACGTAGGAACCTTTGTGCCAGAGAGACACAGTTCCGTGCYGTGATGGTGATATATGCTTGAATCTTTATTTATATATTTTTCGCTGCTTTTTGCATTGTTTCCATCCTCAGGAGAATAAAAATATACAAAAAATGGTACGAAAACGTATGAGATTCCTTACATCCGTGAAATGGTTTGCTAAGTAAATTAGCGAAGTGATTTTTTTTAATTGTGTTTCACGAATCACTGGTAAAATCGCGCGCTTTAAAGGTTGTAAATTTGATGTAAATATGATGTAAGTGTCCAAAATTCTGTAAATTTAATGGAAATCATTTACATCAAATTTACAGAATTTTGGACACTTACATCATATTTAYATCAAATTTACAACCTTTAAAGCGCGCGATTTTTTCCAGTGAATACATGCAATAAAAGTCTCTCTCTGGCGGATAAGCAGACATTTGTTAAGACATACTTGGTAAGAATAAAGCAGAATAAAGGAAGGTAGGGTTTAATGTCGTCTGGGATATCTGATATACTGGAAATGGCTCTAAAGTAGGTAACTCCATTAGTTGGTTGCTCTGAAAACTGCACAGGTACACCAGCTAGAAAAGAAAAACGATCAATTAGGATCTCTGACTCAGTGACTGCTTTCATAGTTGTGGCTAATAGAGCTATTTCTTCAACCTCAGCCCTCAAACCTTCATCGTTGACAAAATCCTTGGACCAATCCAACGAATTTCCTCATTTTAAGCAACACCCACAGACAATTCCATCCTCCTGACATCATAAATGCAAGGTTGTCACTGAGCATGTTCAGGGTCCGTGCAGAGTATCAAAAACGAAATTTAAGGACTTTTCAAGGACCAAAATTGTATTTCAAGGAACATCATAATCATGCTAATTGTACATTCTTACCTCACAACTTCAGGCGAAAGGAATAATTCTGAGATCACTAGCGCTTCGTGATAGAGATCTATCTTTTTCAAGGACTTTTTCGAAATTTTTAAATTTTCAAGGAGTTTCAAGTGCCCTTAAAAACGAGTTTTCTATTCAAGCACTTTTCAAGGAATTAAGGATTTGCACGGACCCTGCATGTTACAATAGTACACAACCAGCCAAAACAAGATCCAACATTGATGAAAGGGGGCTAAGGGGGAGAACAGTGACAAAATAAAGGAGAAAAATGTTAGGCTGGAGACAAATAATTCTATGCTCCAAGGTTTTTTGGCAACGATTGCAGAAACTGAAAAAAAGTGGTGTTACAAAACAAAAAAAATAGACGTTTACATCTAAGGGGCTGCAAGTCATGAGACTGTGAGCTTCACGGAGAAATGAGAGTCCTTCTACCCGAACCGCAATAAGCGATCCATCGAAAAGGTTGAAACAAAGTACAAGTCTGCAAACACAGATGAATATCTTTCGGTTGTCCTGAATGTCTGATTTTGCTATGGATATTTTTGTCAATTTTCATGGCCTTGCTAGTCAACATCCCTCAAAGACATAACAAACGTCTGTTTTTGGCAGACACTCTACCATGCGCATTAAGACATCATTTTTATCGACACCTGTCAGTCATCTCTTACCTATGACGTATTCATCAAAAACTACTGGTTTGATTTTACGATCAATATCTACAATAAAAAAACAAAGACAATTACTAAAGCGCCATAAATACATTCAATCAGCTTGTGACTCGAGATCAATAAATATTTCAGCGCGCAGTTTGATGCTAATGTGTAGAGACATATGACTGACTGACCTGTTATCGCCATGATGGGTAAGCAAGATGCATCTTCTACAGTATTTTGCTGTTCAGAGAGTTCGAGGCCTGARAAAATTGATGAAATTGTTTTAAATTATTATTTTTTTTACAAATATTGCTCGTTTTCACTCATTCTAAACGATCGGCGGTCATGTTGGAGAAATGAACAATACATCCTAATGAGAAATCATTTGTTGTAGGTCCTCCAAGATGGCCGCCGTGACATAACTTGAAACAAAGAATAGTCTATTCAATAAGAAAATTACAATGCAACTCAATACTTATGATCACAATATATTTTACGCTAAAAATCGAGAAATACGAGATACGAGTCTCGGTACATTGTCGCTGTGCGGTAAGTCGATGTATATCATTGTATACCTTGCCTATGCACTGACAACTTGTATGGCAAAAAAAAACAGGCCATGAAAACGAGAACCATTGGAGCTAAACCCTCCAACAATACTTGGCCAACAAGGTTGGATGTGTTTTGTATCTCGTATTTCTCCGTCTTCGCTTTCACTCACATTTGCTGTAAATTATGTCTTTGTCTTCTTTAGTAAGTGCGGCTGTCTTTTCATCTAGTTTTAGCTTTTCCTTTTCGACGAGGTTTGCTTCATATTCATGCTAAAACAAAAACATGRATATCATAAAAGCCACCGAACAGGGGGAGGGAGACTTCACTCGAGCTCACTACGTGCTCACGTATAGCAGAGTTTTAGTTTGTTTTTTTTTTGTTTTTTTTTTTTTGCCTTCCGATACAGTGTTAGAGTGAAATCTTCCTAGCTATGTACAGCGGGCATAAGTAGCAAATTCTTGGAGATTAACATGATAACAGGCAGTCAAAAACAGCAATCGTCAAAATGAYCTTGTTATACATCAAACTTACATCAGGGTTCATGACGAGAGTCAAACAATGTGAGTTGTCCTTGAAGTACTGCTTGATTTTATCTTGTAGAAACTGTTCATTCTTTAAACATTCCTGTCAGCAAACAACGGTAGTTATTCATAGTTACATGTATCTACGACTCGACCGACCTTTTACGTCATACACCGTATAAGCAATGCATTGTGGGGTATGTTTGGGACAAAACGTGAAAAATTTCTCGGTTTTTTTAAAAACTGATCCCACAATGCATTGCACGGATGACGTAAATGCTTCAGAAGTCTATGTACTTAGAACTTCGATCTGAATACCTTTCTCATGTAATTGCTCGAATTGTCTCAATAGCCTAACAACACGCTTTTGTATAGCCTCATTTGCAGACGTTATTAGTRTCGATCATACCTTCACCAACACTAATGACGGCTGCAAAGGAGGCTAGCTTTTGTATCGCTGCTACTGTAATTGCTTTCAGCTCAGAAATTGACTAGAAACAAGACGCGCTTTGGCTGATTGAGATGATTTTGGCGATTDGATCATGGACATCACAATCAATTCACCTTGAATTGGCTAACGTACTGGTTGACCTTCAAGAATTCAGTCGGTTCAGCTCCATGGTTCCAGGGCTGCATCAAACTCTTWAAAAWAACATTCAAGAAAATTCAATYAGATAAAATCAAAGAAAAAGCTGCAGTTGTTACAGATGAATCAGAGGCATCAGAGAACAGCTTAAAAGGACTGCTAAATTAAGGG